GTCCAGGAGCGGGAGCTGCAGCAGCGTGTGCACTGACTGTGCGGGAGCAGCCCCTGCAATCCTGCGGCTCCTGCAGGCCCGTGCACAGGCACTTGCGCGGCTCCTGAGCGTTGAGCCTGGCTTTGGGGGAGGCTGCAGTGCAGCGCTCCAGCCACACGAGAGCATCAGGACCCCGCGTGTTGGTCGGGGTTTCTTGCAGCAGGAGCCTGAGCTGCAGCAGGGAGCAGGCCACAGCTCTGCTGAAGGCCAAGCAGCGGGGTTGGTGAATGCGGAAAGGTTTGTTGCTTTACTTTACACCTGCAGTTTAAACGTGGCCATTGCCACCTCCTTCCTAACATTAGTGATGGCTATGAGATAAATGTTCTCTGCTAAACTTTCCTTCTAGAAGGCTTAGTCAGTGCTTGATATTCRTAATTCATTGTCCTCTTGAATGCTGAGTTCTCGCGCTGGTTCTAGCGGGGATTTTTATTTGATCTCTATATGTTTATGCCTAGAGTTCTTCAGACAGAGTGAAATCAGGCTTGCCATAAATAGCTGCCATTGATGTATTGGTCTGGCCTTGGCACCGTCCCTGCCTAGAGCAGAAGATTGGGTTGTACGAGCTCCCAAGTGCCTTTCAGCATGAATCATCTATGATTCTGGGATATTACATATTCTCATCATATTAAACAGAAAATATTTCCTGGTATTAAACAAAAGCTGGTCTTGGGGGGAAAAAAAAGTCAATAAAGTGCTCATTTGTTTTCCTGTGTCTTAGACAGTCTATCAATGTTGCTGGTGTACAGCATGTGCAATGATTACACTGAAAAGGAGGAAACCTTGATGATGACTGTGAGAGGAGACACAAGTGGCAGCAGGTATGGRATTCCTAGTGCGGGAGAAGGGAAATAATAGCTGATATGAAAAGTCTCTGAATATTGCTGCCTCAGTCTCCAAATGTGGCAAACCTGTGAAATACCGTTTCCAAAAGTCTTCATMATCTTGCTTTTCAAAACTGTTTCAGACTTTTCAGGGCCAAAGTCGCCATACACTATTTGCATATGCAAATATTACCTGCTAGTGATCCTTTTTCACTTGAAAAAGCAATGCTTGGCCTGGACTCCAGATCATCTTTGCCATTTCCTCCCTGGGGAATGTTTTAAAAGAGAAAGCCCTTTTCAACCCCTCAACAAAGCCATTTGTGTCGTCACTCACCAGACGCTGAGTTTCATGGGCAATACTGCCTGCCGCAAGGCCTACCTTGGGGAGGAAGGAAGAGCCCGAGATGTCGCTTGCTCAGTCGGGTCATGCAAATGTTTCTATTTTCTCTTTCTGCGGTTCCTAATTCCAGACGTGCACAGGAAGCAGGTTTTGCATTCTGCCCCGGGAACGGTCCCGGCGGGAAGCAGGAGGCCCTGGAWAGGGAGATAAACCCGGCTGAGCTCCTCCGAAATGCTCACCCCGACGCCCGCACCCATCTTACCCTTTTCTTGCTCTTACTTTTGTCTCCAGAGCTTCCCGCTCCCATGTGAGCAAACATACCAGCTCTCCTCCTTCTCACTTCAGTTCCTCATAAGGCTCCCTGACACTTACCCAGGTCAGATGATTCCTCATTCCAGTCCATACTGTCATAGGAAAGGGAAGGAAAAGAGAAAGGTAAATTACCTGATTTACCGTTCCCCCTCTGCTTTCCAACTGCTTTCTAACTCTATTCAAAAGTCTCTTAATTCATAGCATGTTTACTGATGGTTGTAAGCAAAATACGACCAGCATTTCAGTCATTAAAGAACTGCCTTTACTCACAGTGCTTCTTCCAAGAAGAATTTGTTTATTTCCAGTTTTCAGCAGAGTGAAGTGGGACCATTAACTTTGATGGAAAGGACCTCTATAGAATAATACGTTCTTAGTCACACTTTATTTCATATAAAAAAAACCCTCTCCATGTGTGACAAAAAGGAGAGAAAATCATTAGAGTTATGGTAATACAGCTGCTACGTAAATAAATTACTGCAAATGTACCATGCAGAATTTCTTGGTTGATGTTGGCTCGTATTTTCTGTACGCTGGCAGAGAGCAAGTTATATCTGAGACCTAAATATAATTTAGAATGAATATTCATGAGCGCTCCTGGTGACGAGGCCTGGCCGGGCTAAGGAAGCAATGACCGATGCAGCTGCGGGGACCTGGAGCACGTTGGTGGGAACCAAGGGTTCACCCCCGTGCGTGGGGCAGGGAGCCGCGTCKGCGAGAGCAACCCCCAGAACCTCACGGGCACGTTGGGGCCGGCAGCGTGGGGTGTTTGTAACGGTTGTGATCAATCCTCGATGCACACGAGTCTAATTTTGCTGGGTTTGGATCCGCCCGTGCCCGCTGCGGGCCGYGGTGAGCACCGCAGCCGCTGTCCCCGTTGGTGCCATTGCACTGCATGAGCGTTAGGGGCTGCTGGCTGTAAGGGCAGCTGCAAAGCTTGCACACAGCTTTAACGGTCTCCACAGAGCTTTAATGTTCTCATCAGCAGCCACAGCTTACCCCCRCTATATCATTTCAAAAGGATCCAGCTAGGTTTTTTACTGAAAACAAAATAAAAGAACAAAACTTGTTTCCCACTAGAACTAACTAATAGTTTTTTTGGCATTTACTACTCAGCAACATTAAATTTGCACAAAGTCATGCTAGAAATGCAACACACAGCTTATCTGCAGGGAGAACCTCCCTTCCCAGGCTGGAAAACACCCTGGCACCAGGAATCCCGTAATTACCATGTCTGCTGCTTGAGTTCTGTCACACAACAGGTGCAACAAATGCTTCTCAGGACGTTATCCCATGATTTGCCCTGATTTTGTAGCTGCTTTACGGAAAAGCAGTATCTCCTGCACTGAGGAACAGACTCATGCCCAGGGAGCAGAGCCGCCCGGTACAGGGCACGGCCAGGCCAAGCACAGAGACCATAGAAAGTCCGCAGAGACCTTCCTGAGGTGCCTTCCCAGGAAAGGAGTAATAAAGAACAACACAATAACAGTAATAATAAATTACAAAATGTATTAATTCTATTGATTGCTGTTTTTCTATCACTGCTATCCTAGCACCTTTCCACACGATAATATGACCTGTCTGAGGACTCGTCCTCAGAACTCTCAGCTGTTCAAGACCTACCGCACGTTAACGGCTGTCGGACCTGCAGTGTCCCTGGTGTGCGTCCGTAAAGGCCACCCCGTCCTGCCCCGGGAGGCATTAACCAGCTGAAACACGTCACCTTCGGAGAGGCACAAGGGCCCGACAGCAGCAGGAAGCGCTCCCGATGGAAACTCAAGCAGGGCCTTATCTGCGGCGCTGCCAGCACGGGTGATGGATGCGTTTTCCAGAGCTGATACGGTGATGTGGAGCTTGCTGATGTGGAGCTCGCAGGGATGTGGAGCTCCCGGCGTGGGAGCTGCTGGCGCGGGCGGCACCCGGGACCCCGCGTGCCCGCCGGAGCCGCTCCGTGCGAGGGGACACAGAGCCGTGGGGCTGCACGGCCGAGCCCTGGCGCCCACGGAGACCCCATGGATCTAGCCAAACTTGGGTTGCTCGCAGGTTTTAGGACTGCATGATTTCCTGGAGAAAYGTAGATAAAAGGTGTTATTGACTGATAAGGAAATTGCGTGTAAAAGGTAATACTTGCAAGGAGGCTTTTTTGTGAACGAGYTGCAGTTTATTGTTGGTACATCATTCAGTTAGCAAGGAAACAAGCACAAGTGCCTCAAAGAGCACTCAGAAATCACAAATGAATTAAGGAGACAACAGGCAGGTGCCTTGCGGGCGCAGGGCCCAGGTGGCCGGGAGCCCCGCGCGCCGTCCCGCKGCACGGCCCCGGCGGGACCTCCGCTCCGCTCCGCTCGGCGTGGCGAGGCCGGGGCCGTGCGGAGCCTGCCCGGGAACACGGCGACACGACAGGCTCGGCTCGCCCACCRCTGTGCTGCCACCCAGACACAGCACACACAGAGCGCGCATTGATTTTTCTGTGATTTTCATGTTTTATTGCCATTGATTTCACATAGTTTTTCCACACTCTGATCACATCAGTCTGCTTGGTATCTGTTTTCTCTCTATAATATTTAAAAGCATTTACTTTTCCCCTCTAATCTTTTCCATCGAGTATTGGCTGTCATCTGGAAAGGAAAGCTGTCCCTTATCGCTGCATATCCTTCCACCTCCACCTTTGAGCCCAGGTCTGTTAATTGAAAAATAAATGTCTACTGGTTTTACTCCTACCAGTTGCAATGCTTTTGCAGGGTATTTGATGGAGAACGGGCCTCTCTTCAGCTCCTCTTTTATTTCTGGAACTGTTAATGAATTTCAAAGTACGGGATCCAAACTCCTTCTCCAGTTACGAATTCTATTCTCATCTATAAATAGTCACATTAATTATATGAGTAATTGTATTATACGAGCAATGAGCTGTAATCAGGGGGTAAATAGAACATGTACAATCATGTAACTGGAAAGGAGAGTAAAGCTGCACTTTGACATCCCAGCCAGGTTCAGCCTGAGAAAGCGAGTCCACAGCGTGTTTGGTGAGCTCGGAGCTCGGAGCCGCCACATAAACCACGGGGACAAGGGAGCCGGCAGCCCGGCGGCTCCGCAGTGTGTTCCCGTGCGAGGGGCGCTGCCTGTGTGTGTGCACACGTACATACATGTGCACACACACACACGCGCACACACGTGCACGCACACACACATACATGCGCACACATGTGCACACACACACACATACATGCGCACACACGTGCATGCACACACACACATACATGCGCACACATGTGCACGCGCACACACACACATGCGCACACATGTGCACACACACACACATACATGCGCACACACGTGCACACACACACACACACACACATGCGCACACATGTGCACGCACACACACATACATGCGCACACACGCGCTCAGGGACGAAGGGAGCAGCCCGGGCGGGCGCGCGGCCCCTCGTGCCCCGGCCGGCAGCACCGCTGCTGCTGATGCCAGGAGCAGCTTCGCTGGCACCGAACGGGCAGGAGGGAGCCAGCAAGGCAGGAACACAACAGCTTACGCACAAGCTACAGCCTACGTGAAGCGGTCTAAAAGGCTGGAACTGGACGGCGTGGAAGTTCATCCCGCGCTACTGTCTTTTTCTGTTCCTTGTCTTCCAGGATCTGAATTGTCCTTACCAGCTCTTTTTCTGAGCAAGAGCTGCCTTACTTTTGCCATCAGCATTTCTCGGAAGTGGTCGCCCATTAGGAAATAAAACACGGGGTTAATGGCGCTGTTCATAAACGCGATGGGCCGGGTGACGATGTAGACAGCGCTGATGAGGTGCTGGGTGCACGGGGCCACGGCCAGCGCGGGGATGCGGGAGGCGATCCGCACGTTGCGCATGATGTGGTACGGAGTGAAGAGCACCGAGAAGATAACCACGGCCAGGATGACCAGGGAGAGCGGCTTCTCCAGCGTCAGCGGCGAGTTGCGCTGCTCGTTCCTGTTCTTGAGAAATATCACCATCTTCACGTAGAAGAAGCACATGACGCAGAGCGGGATGAGGAACCCGAGGACAGTCAGCACCATGCTGTAGATGATGCTCTTTGCCGGGTCCCCCGAGCTGGCGTAATCGAGGCACTTGCTGTTGTTGGCAGCAGCAACGGGTCCCAGGAAATGGATGAGCGGCAGCAGCTCCAGGATCACCCAGACCCACAGGGCGACGGACACGATAACCGCCGTGCGCCTCTTCTGCAGGAAATGCTCGYGGAAGGGGTATTTCATGAGCAGGTAGCGGTCGATGCTGATGAAGGTGAGGAAGAGGATGCTGGTGTACAGGTTGGCGTGCAGCAGGAAGCGGTTGCTGTGGCAGAACAGCTGGTTTGCCCACTGGGTCGAGTAGCTCTTCACCAGCACAGGGAGGGTGCACAGAAACAGCAGATCGGACAGGGATAAATTAAACAGGTAGATGTTGCCGCTTTTCCACTTTTTCAGGCAGAACACATAGCCGAACACAACAATAGTATTTCCAGTGAGGCCCAAAATGAACTCGAGGCTGTACATGGTGGAAAGATAATACTTTTCTAGGAAAGTGTCCATCCGCAGACAGTCGTGTGTCTCGTTTGCAGCCTGGAAAGTTCAAAAGAACAAGAATAATSAACAACAGAAGAGCAAGAAAGCAGTGCCTTGGTTCTGTGCATCGTTGTGCTGCGGGGAACACAGTTCTCTGGTTCCTTACAGCTCCCACGAGCAGAGCCGGGAACCCAGAGAATCCGTATGCAGGACACGGCCTTGCAGCTATGGAACAGAGCTATTGAGCACGAGRAAATCTGATGTGGGCAAGAACAAAAAAATAAGTAAATTGGAAGTATCATCTGTGACCAGATGAGCTGTGAGCTGCCCCTGTGCCCGGTTCCACACGGACATGGGCAGGTGGGAAAGCRCGACTCGCCTGGGACTCATCCCTCCCTCCATCCATCCATCCATCCCTCCATCCATGCATCCCTTTATAAGGGATATCCTTAAAGTCCTTTTTAAGGATGGAAGATTTTATGGCTAACAAATYATAGTTAATCCAAAAGATACTGTAGTCAATGGGGAAATACGGCAAAGTTCTCAATAAAACTCTTTCAAGACAAAATTCACAAAAYCTCATGCATTTTTGGAATTAACAATCTATGACGTGAAAAACAGAATTACTTTTAACACTGTTATGTGATTTATTCAATCACAGTCAGCAAATTATGCTAAAATAATAAATAGCCAATAAATTATGCTAAAGCCACTGTACAACAATGTGCCCGAGGTCCCGTTCCATATAAACGCTACAGGCTGAGAGGCTGCCCTCTCCTATGGCAGACGCACACCCAAAGCACAGGCAAGGGAAATGCCATGTTAAGGAACTTTAAGCATTTTCARTATTCTGCTCATTGAGTATTTGCAAAGTTTATTTGCCGTTTCATTTCATCTCCAGGGAGAGCTGCACCCGCACACTTCATCTTCCCGCTTTTGCTGTATTTAATTATCCTTTTGCCCCCAAATAATTGCTCTTCCCTTTTGCTTGGGAGTACAGATTATTTGAAGCACCCAACTTTTTTCATCAAAAGGTTTCTCTGAAAGTGTCCGTTAAACAGGAAGCACTTTGGTTGGATTTCACAAGGCAAGCTGAATATTCACCCGCTTACTCAAGGAAGTCAGGGGATCTTGAGGCACAAAATACAAACATTTCTGGGAAGCTGCCCCCATTGTGCGGAGTTTTGCTTTCTCTCTACGGCTTGGCTAGAGAAATGCTTTCAAGCAATAGGGAAAGAAACAGGAYGACAGGTTGTTTGCTCTTCTTCTGCAAGCAAACGCACGTCCAACTGCCTCCAAGCTTCGTTACAAGATAAAGAGCCATTTTAGCGAGAGCCTTTTCTTAAAATATAGGCAAAACATAACTAGAAAGTAGGGGGAGCTGAATGATAGAAAGGTGGAATAAAGATCAAAACTGAAATTGAGCGGAGTGATTTGCAAAATCTGCTAAGAGAGGGTCTCTAAAGATCCAGTAATTATTTTAGATAATTTGTTAGGATGTCCAGAATTTGAAATTTAAAATGTGAACCCTCTGGACAGATGCATATCTGGTAGCAAAGCACAGTGCTTTATTTCACAGGTAGATCACAAGAATGAAGAACATCACGGAGCAGGTTCGTAGGGCCGCACAGAACAAACACTTGCACCGCYGTGTATCACGAGGACCTTCGTGTTTTCTCCCTCCGAGCGCGATAACCCCACGCGATGCTTTTAGCTTCATCCCGGCTAGTCAGACCCGTGAGCAGAAACTCAAAACTTCAGSAAGATTTTAATTAGCAACATCACCGTCACACGGCCGCTGGCATTTTAAATACAAACCCGGCGTTTCCAAAGCCGTGCTGGCGCCGCTGCCCGGGACGAGCGCGGGGCGACGCGAGCAGCGCTCGGGAGCGGGGCCGGCGCACTTACTCACCATGCCGGGGCCGGGGCCGGTGCCGCGGGC